AACCTAAGACACATAATTGTGGGTGTCATCACTGGAAACTGCCCCGCGGGGGTAAACCTCGTGAGATTGAATATTTCCAACAACCACTGCTGCAGAGAATGCGGAGAGGATGAAGAAACCATAGAGCATCTGCTGTGCCACTGTCCGGCAATAGAATACCGACGCGACGCTTTAAAACTTTAGGGTAAGGATTTTTGGAGAGACTGGGGGAAGCAGCGAAAGCCAACATCAGCGACATCGGGAACTCGCGCAACGAAAGAATGAGAGGAAGGTCATACAATAAAATAGGAATATCACGATGGGCCCAAGGCCTCCGAGTGAGGGATCAAATACGATCCCAAACCTAACCTAACTTACCATAGAGATGGAAATAAAATACTATATTGTTAAATTCTTCTGAATTCGCGGTTAATGTCAAGCAGTGACTGCGGCGACGCTATTCCTTCACTGTCGTTCGCGTTCCGTCTTTTAGGCGCACATGCGTGAGCAACCAAATAATTAAAAAAAGCGCCAAATTCATATATTTAAAAAAAAATCTAACAATATGATAAATTTAGATTTGTAGTATGATAAATAATGTATAATTTGCAATATTGAAAATATTTGCAGGGTACTACTAGTCTTTGGATATAAAATTCCACCTATTTTGTAATCAAAGTAAGTTAATTTGACTTCTATATCACACATTTTTTTTTTCTATTTCATTTATTTCTATACAAAGGTGCTTCTCTTGTCCATTAGAGAACACTAATAAAGACTAAACTCAAACGTTAATTAATTTAAAATTTATAAAGCTAATTCAATGGAATTGAATTCGCTTTTTTTTCATTTAAATATAATGGAAGGAACGAAGACAGAGGAGAATCGTCTATTCTGTTAGTTTGTAAACAAGCTAAGAATCTTGCTATTTCGGGTATTTCATACAGTTACCTTATTAACGAAAAGAATAAATGATAGTGATTAGTGATATACAATATACAGGGTTGTTCACCACATACGACACGGAGTATTGTAGCTAAACCATTAGATTTTTACAAATTGTAAGTTTTGGGTTCGTTGAAGGACTATTAGAGCTACAATTTAAAAATATTTTTTCAAGATACAGAGTGTCCCAAATAAATAAAAAATATACAAGTTGTATTTTTTTAAATGGAACACCCTGTATATTATTATATTTTTAGTTTCTACCATTAAAATAAATGTAAATTTGATTAAGGTTTATCACACTTAAACCTTACCGTTTTTGAAATATTTTCAATTTTGTGAAATTGCGGTAAAAATTTTAAGGCTCCATTTCTCCAAGGGTATCAAAGTTTTTAATACCAAATATCTACGGAAGTTTAATTATTGATCAGTTATTGTGTTGCAATAATAAAAATTATACTACCTCATACAAATTATATCATGCTATTTTTTACCTATTCCTTCAAATTTTCGTAGGAAATGCATTTTCTTATAATTTAGACCTCATTTATCAATATACCCATGGAATATTGACATTTTAGATTGTTTTCAAAGCAACAAAAATGTACAAAATGTACAGGTCCTAAGAACGATAATAATACTAGCCCATTTGTATACAAAAAAATCTATTTAAATCCTTATAAAAATTACACCATTAATTAAATATACCACCATCATTTCCGCCCAAATATTAATTAATTACATACTTAATTGTGTTAGTTAATAACTTATTCTAAATAAATGTGTAATTGAATCAGAAATCAATATAATAATAAGTTATGAAAATGAACGTCTCTATTGTTATAAATAAACATTCGTCAAAAAATGAAATAAAATTTTTAAGGTGTTACTTTTTAGCACACTGTCTAAACACATACAAAATTCAGTTTTTTAGTATTTGGAGCAATTATTATTAATCAACGCAAACAGTCAATTAATGTAGTTTGATTACTGGAATCATATTAATTAGTCTTCATTACCAAATATTTAAACAATTTTTTTTAATTTTTAATGAAGTAAACGAACTACCGACAATATTAGCATATGTACCAGGATATGTAAATGATATGTTTAAAAATTTGTTACATCTTTAAAAGTAATCTAAAATGTCAATATTCCATGGATATATTGATAATTGAGGTCTAAATTATAAGAAAATGCATTTTATACAAAAAATTGAACAGATAGGTAAAAAATGGTATAATACAATTTCATAGACAATTAAATTACGCATCTGATTCTCATAAAATACACAGGGTGTTCCATTTCAATTAAACAAGTTATTACCGTTTAGAGCTAGTAATTATTTAAAATAAATTTTTGGACACTCTCTATAAGCTAGTGTAATTTTCATTATTGCAACACAAAACTTAATAAATAGAAATACTTCAGTACAATATTTGGTTTTAAAAACATAAATACGTCTATAGAAATGAAGCATTAAAATTATTACTGTATTTTGACAAAAACCTAAATATTTCAAAAACGGTAAGAGTAAAATGTGCTTAACCTTAATCAAATTTACCTTTGTTTTAATCGTAGAAACTAAATATGTAATAATATACAGTGTGTTCCATTTAAAAGAATACAACTTTGATTTTTTATTTATTTGGGACACTCTGTATCTTGTAAATATATTTTCAAATTGTGCCTTTAATAGTCCTTCGACAAACCCAAAACTTATAATTTGCAAAAATCTGATCGTTTAGCTAAAATACTCCGTGTCGTATGTGGTGAACAACCCTGTCTACAAATTAACTAAAGTTACTGGATTAATATTAAAATAGTAGTAGGGTATAAACCAAAATAAATATATAGTTTGCAAACTACCCATGTTGTGCTAACTACCTTCTAGTTATCGGGTTTTTGTTGGTTTTGAAAAGTGACTTGTTAGTTTTAAAATCATGTAAAATATCATTCATGTAATATTTAGGCTTATTAAGGAAGTATTGATTTTCGTAAATTTATAGAAATAATATTATTAATAGATATTATATTTTCTCACCAAAACTACAAATAATGTGCTCACTCTTAAAGAGTAGAATTATAAAAAAGCACAATGATGTATCTACTAGGCGAAACACTGAGTAGAAGCAGAAATTTAACATCAAATAAGACATCAATTATTAAAAAGAGCATTTCACATCGGCCGTTCCATAATTATATATTTATACGCTGCCAGTTTTTTCAGCTGCTTTATCCCATTTTAGAGCGCGTACAATTTAATATTTAACGACTGTCAAAATTTAACGCATTCCGTACGTAATTGAAAAATTGCATCCAAAATTCTACCTACAATAAAACTGAATTTATAAACAAAATATGTAAATCCAATTTGATTTATTATTATTTTTATAAACAGAACCGTAGTAAACTATTTAGAAAAATAAATACGGGCCGTAGAAAAACAACTAAACAATAATAAATTTTATTTGCTGACATTTTTATTAGTGTTGATTTTTAAAATTATATTTCTTTTTTTCTGCTGGAAATACACATACATTTCTAGCAATTTTTATTATATTGATATTCACAGATATTTGTTTTTCTGTAAACGTTGCATGATGGAAGTTATGCCATATCGACATTAGATAAAGTTTAGATAAAATTATATTTTTCTTTTTTTTTAAATTAACATATAGGGTCCGGCAATAGTACGTCGGGCATCTGTAGCTCCTAGAATAAAAAACTTGAGAATTTTGTTTAAGTGCAAACCTAAAGTATAAACGAAGATGTACATATTTCAGGAAAATATTTTAACTTTTATAGGGTGGCTCAAAAAAGTAGGAGTGGATAGGGATGATTTCTTTAAATGGAACACTCTGTATATTGTTGCATTTTTGGCTTCTTTTGAGATCACTTTATATAACATATAAGATATGAGTAAATATATTTCAATAATTTCAGAGATATTAATAAATAAATCAAAAATATATATTTTTCAGCTTTTCTTAAAAAAAGAACTGTTCTGAAATTAAAACTATATTAGGTAGTTTTATACACTTTAATAGGTATTTACTTTAGATGTTATAAAATGTTTCTTTTTTTTTAATTTAACACCCCGTATATAATTTTTTTATTAGATAGAGAGTTAAAAAAATTAACATTTTTTGTGTTTAACCCATTAAGGCCCATGGGGTCGTTAACGACCCTCAAGATATTTTATTATCAAACTTTATTTCTTAAGAACACATTACGTGTCAGAACTTATTTCTGTGTTGCCAGTGCTTGTCCTTTGCTTGTCAATCGTTTGGCGCGCTTATTTTATTGTTTACTAGTTTTTGGGAAGTATTTCTGAACGAATAATTTTTCTTGTCTGTGCAATGTCAACAAATCATTATTGGTGAGTACTTGTTTATTAAGTATTACGTATTATTACTGCAGTAGTGTATTCGGAAAATACGATTTAAAAGTAAGGTTATGAAAATTTGAGTAATCATTACATGGTTGCCACATATTATGATACTAAAAATGAGTGGGTCGTTATCGACCCCTTGGGCCCTGAGAGTACTTCATAGTTGTTTATCAGGAAACGTGCACTTACTGTTGCTGAGCTTCTTGAGGAGGTAGAAAATTTAGAAGAAGACGCCCTGATTCCTGATGGAATCGTCATGTTGCCTCCTGATGATGCCGAAGATAGTGCCGAAGATTCAGGCGATGACGTATGCAACGATCCGGATCGGTTGTGTTCTGCGCAGTTGAATGCGAAAGCCGAGTTTTTCTTCAACGATAACTCAAATTGTCCTGAACCCTATAGAGTTGCAGAAACCCCCCAACAGCCTCAGATTACAGAAAACGTACAAGACCAGACTGAAGAATCCGTTTCTACAAAAGCTTTACCGTCAATTTATCCTTTCAAATGGTAAGCAGCAGGAGATTTTCAAGGCAACGACAGATCACACAACGGTGATCTTAAATTTTGCAAGCCTCTGACTGTGTCAAGTGCAACCCATCCTTTAGATTTCTTTCAACTTTTTATAACCCCAGAAATTGTCGAAAATTTGGTTAGGTTTGGTTTGGTTTGGATGTCTGCATGCATGTATGCTACCCACAGAAATAAACCTGGTTTTCAATTGGATATAGACGATATATATACCTATCTAGGAATCTTGTTTCTGAGCGGATATGCACCCCTGCCCCGCAGGAGAATGTACTGGGAGACCAGCGAAGATGTACATAATACTTTAGTTTCTAAGTCAATGCGTAGAACTCGTTTTTTTGAAATATCTTCTAATTTGCACGCAGCTGGTAACGACAACTTGCCTGAAAATGATAAACTTGGCAAAGTCCGATATCTTATTGATGCTCTGAATACAAAATTTCTCCAGTATGCACCACTTCAAAGTAACATATTAATTGACGAGTCCATGATTCCGTACTACGGGAGGCACGGGTGCAAGCAATATATAAGAGGTAAACCAATCCGCTTCGGATATAAGGCTATAGATGTTGTCAAAGGTATGGGCCTTGGAGAAACAGTGGTTTTTCATTTTGCAAATATTATAAAAAACCATTTTGCTGATCAAAAATTGTCTTTATATTTCGATAACTTTTTTACTTCTGCAAAACTTGTTTCTATGTTGGGTCAAATAGGAATAGGAGCTACAGGAACTACCCGAGAACACAGAACTGGTAAATGCAGCCTAATAGAGAATGCAAAAATTAAGAAGTTTGATAGAGGAGCGATGTGTTCTGCATTTGATGCCCGTAATAATATTGTTGGGGTTTGTTGGAAGGATAATAACGTAGTTACGCTAATGTCAAATGAGTTTGGCTTAGAACCAGTTCTCAAATGCAAACGCTACTCTGCTAAAGAAAGATCTAAAGTCGATATACCTCAACCTTATGTAGTAAATAGTACAATGCATTCATGGGAGGTGTGGATCAGTTGGACAACCATGTGTCTAATTACCGCATTGCATTCAGAGGAAAGAAGTGGTATATTCCTATAATCTATTGGCTTTTCGATGTAAGCATAACCAATGCCTGGCTTTTAGCAAGGGAGTACGGTTATTTGGAAGACAACCTTACTTTTCGGCGAACTTGCCCAGTCACTTCTCCTAAAATATGGGAAACCTAGGGTTATTACGGGGCCAAAAAGGGCATGCATTAGGAACCCAAGAATTGCCAGCGGTCGGCACATAATTTTAACTCAACAGAAACGGAGGAGGTGTGAAGTTTGTAAGAATAAAACCACGAAATCCTGTCAAGCTTGTGATATCCCAGTTCACGATAAATGTTTTGAAGGCTATCATCAAGTGTAGACGTTTTAAAATATTAATGGACCACACCAAAGTATTTGTATTTAATGTTTACGCATTAATTATTCTTACTTTCAAATAATTAGAAATAAAAAAAAGAAACACACTATTCGTATTACTGCACTCCTAGGACCCAAGGGGTCGTTAACGACCCATAACAAATATCAAAAACGTAAACAAGAATATTTTTTTTAGTATTTTTTTTCACTTAATACTAACCTTGCTTAGGTCAAAGATATGAATAAAAATAACGTTTTTAAGAAAAATGAATTCTAGGCTCTTATGGGTTAAAGTATTCCAAATGTTTTAATGGTTTCGCCGATACACGCAGTATTATTGCATATGGCTCTTTCAACTGTAAAATACGGAAGAAAAATCATTAGGTGGCTTTGATAAAAATTTACTGTTGAAAATGCCATATGAAATATAAAACCGCGAATATCTATATAGTACGTAAAGTGATCTGAAAGGAAGCCAAAAATGCTATAATATACAAGCTCTTCCTTTTAAAAAAAGTCACCCCGATCCACTCATATTTTTTGAGCCATCCTATAAAAATTAAAATATTTTCCTGAAATACATCCTAATACATATTTTACGTTTGCGCTTAAAGAAAGTTCCCAAGTTTTTTTATTCTAGGAGCTACAGATACCCGACAGACTATTGCCGGACCCTATATAAAAATTGGCGTCGGGACGCACGTATAGCCGCCCATACTTGATATTTTTTTTATCTCAAAAACTGCGACTTTGACTGATTTTGATGTTATTACTAATTTTGTTGCAAATATTATTCCTAATCTTAAATTGAAAACCGCGTTTCGCTAGCTACTGTAATTTTGGAGTTACGATTTTTTAAAATTTTTAACCCCCTCCCATACCTCCTTACCAACCTCCCACCCCCACCAAAAACTAATGGCCAGATTCTCGGGTGCCACAGTATTTTTGTGCCAAATTTGGTTAAAATCGGTTTAGCGGTTAGACAGACAGACAGACACCTTGCAAATATTTTGTATTTAGGTCATTTATGACCCAAATATCTCATTTTGAGTGAAATTAAAAAACTTTTTTTTGCCGATCTTAATAGCCTGCCACATCTGTCGGTATGGTCGGCTAAAAATAATAAATACAAAAATTTAAAAATTAAGAATAGGCAATATATAGCAAAGCTTATATTATTTGTGCATAATTAATGTTTATATTCTTTGTGCATAATTAAAGTTTATATTGTTTGGGCATAATTAATATTTATATTGTTTGTGAATAATCATAAATTTTCTTCTTGATTTAGATAAAATTTTGAAATTAGGTAAAATGATTTAGAATATGGCTCGAAATGGAATAAATTTAATGTAGCATATAATTTTGCAAACATATTTACTAGTATATTTATTATCACGCCATTAAATCCTGAATAAATCTGCTGCATGGAACCCACATATTGTTGAAATTTAATTTGGAATTTCTTTTATATTTTTTACGTAGGTATTGAACCTCAAATATTTATAAATGTGTGCAAAACATGGTGCTGGCTTTCCTAATTATATTTGAATATCATATTTATTTTCGCAATTATTACTATTAACAGAAAAGAAATTAATACATATATACACTCTATAAGAGTGCATCTCAATGTTGAGTTTACCGATATTATCCAGGCATGGCATTAGAATTCAAGCTGTTGGCTAAAGTTAATATCAAGTAAGAATGAGACCACCTGTATATAGAAATTAGAAAAATATGGATCAAGTAAAGAATCAGATTATTATTTTAAATAGAACATGAATTACTATTAAAATCAAACGGATTTTCAACTCAATGCGATATTGCATCATCATCAAAGGGCTCAGGGTAATCCCATAGCATAGTAGAGCATAAGTAGATAGAGATTTAGAATCAAATCCCAAGAAGCATAGTGGATGATCTAAGTATGCTAGAAACAAGAGGGATCTGTGAATTGAAAACAAAAACAAATTTTCAAAAAGACATGCAGTTTATATAGGTTTGAAAATATATTTTTAAATTTGACATTTTGAAAACAAAATTGAATGGATGTTAAAGCAGTTTATAAAGCTCTATGAATAACTTCTTATTTTTTTAAATATTTGTTTTAATAATAAAGAACTTCATAAGAAGGCATAATATATTGCTTTCATAACGAGTAGAAATAAGATTATATTTTCATTATTTTGAAATTATTAAATTAATGAATAATATCGACAAAAAACACAATACCTGATATTATTTAATATACAAAATTTTACTGTTTTTTTAGAATGATACACATATACTAATTAAGCATGTTTTTCATTGTACTAATTTTATTTTAGCAATTTTATTCATAGCATTATCTGCATTTAATTATCATAATTAAATATGCGGGAATAATTTTAGGGTAGAGCAGAATAGATAATTAATAAACAAACAACAATTTTGAATTGATTCAATAATGCCACAGCGGTGTCGTAATTATGTTTAATTATTTACTACATAGTTAGGAAATAAATTGTAATTATGGGATAAAATATGTAAAAACAATACAAATTAATATATTTTTTAATTGAAAAGACTATTCGTAATATAGGTGTTTTTGATTATATCATGGATATTATTATTGATATTTTTAATACTAAGATTTATTTTTTATGTTCAATCTTATTCTCAACTTTATAGAATATTTACTTATTATTTAACCGATAGTATACAGGGTGAGTCTTAATGAAGTGCAAATATTTTTGTGCTGGGAGTAAAAATTCAAGGCCGTGTCACAGGAGCTATCGAGATACAGCCTACGGCTTGTGCTACGGCTTAGAAATGCGTACGTATAAAACTATTACTTGTTACACGTAAAAAACTATTTTTACGCGTCAGTGGCGAGTTGGAAGACCTGTTATTAAATAACAATATAAAGATTAATGCCAAAAAAATAGGGGCAAAAATCGCAGACAAACGGAGATTCGAAAAAGAAATCGAAGAACTATTGCTAAAGGCAGAAAGGCCGAACACAAAGAAAAACTGATATAAAACGCTATCCTGAAAAGCGCAGTATTATATGAAGGGTCCAGGGAAAAAACATGAAAAGCGCCATTTTAATAATTTTATAGGAGAGCAGTGGACGGCTAGCGGTTAGCAGACTCTTTCCGTGTATTCTAGATTTCTACTAGGCATATATCATAGGACTTAACAACTTATTGCCCTGCAGAGTTTATACATTTTGTAGGGACTAGGTCTAACTAGTCTCTATAATAGTACTATAATACTGTAAAAATAGCCTTTAAAATACTTTTATTTTTAAATAATAATTAGTAATCATATATCCTGATGATACTAATATAAAGGGTTTTCCATTAGAAGCGCCCAATTTTTTAACTCAATAAAACATATTGTGAGAATGATAGTGATCAATTTCTTTTTTTATGTTTTAAAAATTTTATTTGGTAAATAAAAACTTTAAACGCCGCGGCTTTGTCTGGTCTGTTGAATCCTGGATGCCCAATTCGTGATGTTCGTTATCGCATAAAAGTGACTCAATTTTGGCAATAACGCGCCTAATGTTCGTTTTCAATGCAGCAACCGTCCGCGACTTGTCAGCATAGACTTTGGATTTTAGAAACTACCAGAGAAAAAAAATCCAGTGGCGTTAGGTCACAGAATCTGGGCAGCCAGTTAACGTCAACATTTTGCGAAATTAGCGAATGCACGCCGCTGCCTGTGATTATTGGCCTTTAATTCTTGGGTTAATTGCACTTTATAAGGGTGAAGCTCTTCCTTATGCAGGTTTCGCCAGATTGTCGTAGAAAACCGGCTAAGTTCTAGAGCCCAACGAGGAATGGACTAAAAGTCAAAGACTAATTGTCAACAGTGGTTTAGTAACTCCGTAAACTCTATTAGTCTCCGTTGTATTAACGCAGCAGTGCAAAAAACAAATATTTTATTTTGTAGATTTTCTTACAGTGGCGAAATACCCATAGGAATTTTTTGGAGAGAGGAATGAACTATTGCGGATTCTTATGCATACTTTCCCGAACTGCAGCAATATTTTCAAGGTACGTTTCGTTAGCGTACAGGCACTTTATGACCTGCCACAGGCCCAGTTGTTTTCGAAATTGTTTATTAAACGGCGAATTGTGGATTTTAAAAGATGATTGTTGACACCATAAACTGCACGAAACGTTTGCCGTATAGAACATTGGTTTTGATAATAGTTTTTAACAATTTCGATGCATTGCTCAGTCGTGTAACACTTTATAATAAGATGCAGAGACTAAGTGAATAAGGCTGCCAAAGATAGCACTTGTGTGACTGTTGTGTGGCCGTTGCGAATGCCTAACCTAACCGACCTAACCAAACCAAACATCGAGCTTTACTATTGGAAACTCTTTTTCAAAACATGCATCCAGAACTTATATTAATGTTTTAGGTGACTATAAAGTAATGTTTTTTTAGAATGTCACTTAAAATAAGTTGTAGTTTAGATACACAAAAACATGAATATAAATATTTCTAATAAAAATACTATTTATTTTTGATTAAAGTTGTGTAAAAAAAGTTGATAGTGGTTTTTACCGAAACAAACTACGAATAAGGACGAACAACAAAATTTTAGAAGAAATAGATCAACTACAGATGCCGTATTTATCATTACACAAATTAAATAAAAGTAATAAAGTTTAATACACCAGTATATTGTAG